AGTGAGTATTGCAGTTTTATGTATATGTTGGATTTTGAAGTGATGGGGAAGGAAGTCGGGATAGAAAGACAATTTTATTCTTTATAAAATGCCAGGCGCTGAAGATGCTCTCGATAAAGATCGAAACGTAGCACGGTAAAGAAAATGTTTTTCTAAAACCTATGCCACACCAGACCGAAACTCATGACCTCCAAATAATTATTCTATACTATTGAATTCAACTCAAAAAAATTAATGTTTCATATCAAATAAAAATGATTGATCTTTTTAATGAAACTCTGAGGAACATAAGCAATTGGGCACATAAAAAATAAAAGTTCAGTTAGTTCAATTTCCGATTTCTCGCGTTGAGCTGAAACCCATTAATCGTTGTATCATTAAATGAATCCTCTTTCCTCCCTCTCACTCACTCTCTCTCGCTCTCACACTCTCTCCTTCTTTCCCTTTTTATATCCGTTTCTCAAGTTAAGATGTAAAAAACTCAAAGGGAATCATTTTTTCATGATCGAAATTAATTAAATCAAAACGCTATCTTTTTCTCACCCCGTCTCTCTCTCTCTCTCTCTCTCTCTCCCGCTCTCCTTCTTTCTCTTTTTTTCTTTCCCGCGTTAAATCGCAAAAAGGTCAAAGGGATGCATTTTTTTATGATTCAAACCAGTTAAATCAAATCTCTCTCTCGCTCTCACTCTCTCACTCTCTCTCTCTCTCTCTCTTTCTCTTTTTTCTTTCCCACGTAAAGTCGCAAAAAGGCCAAAGGTATGCATTTTTTTATTATACAAACCAGTTAAATCAAATCTCTCTCTCGCTCACACTCTCTCTCTACCATTTTCTCACACTTTCTGTCTCTCTCTTTCTATCACTCTCATTCTCTCTCTCTCTCTCTCTCTCACTCTCTCCTTCTCTCCCTCACTGTCTGTCTTTCTGTTGTTCTGTTCGAAGTAACCAAAATGCATTTTTTTCGTAAATAATATTGATTTTTTCCGAGAGGTTGGCTTTGTTACGTTTAAACTAAAATTCCGAACTGTAGAGAATGTGCTGTATAAATTTAGCTTTTATTTCACCAGGGGTTTATTAATTCTTTTCCTATTTGTCATCAGAAAAATTGCTTTTTAAAGTTTGCAAACCTATTCCTTTTTAAACTATAAAATCAATATAATCTATTCATTACGCGTATAATTAATCAAATGTCTTTCTCGTGGTATTTAACATAAGTGATTTTTGGATTTCGATTTTGACATCATATTTTTTTATATTTTCAAATTGACGCCGGTTTTCATTTTCTGCCGAATCGGTGGTTCCGGGTTGCACCACTTGACAATGATGAGTAAGCACGTATTTCCATTACTGCTCAATAATACTTCATTAGGAGAAAGGCATTTGGCCCGACGCAGACATTTGACCTATCTTTGACTTTTGATACCGTTGCTGTTGTGAGAAGAAAAATGTAGGTAATTAAAAATTTACAGCGGCCTTGTTGCGAAACGGTATTGACCTGAGCGAAAATGACTTTCCTACGTAATAACCAAAGGAAAATTATCGTATTTGCCCGATTAACACAGTTTACCGCCGCTTCAATTTAATCACTGAATGTTTTCACATTGCGGTGTCGACAAAGACAAAGACATCCTGTAAATATTTAAACAATTGGTTTGGCTATTATTTTCTGAATAACTTACGCGTTGAGGAAGTTTACGTAAAAATTTTTATTTATTATTATTTTAAAAATAATTATTGTTTTCAGTTTATTATAACAACCCAAGTGGAATGAACAAATTACTGTATTAATTAAAATTTGCATTTATATTATGCTCCGATACAATATAACAAGCCAGAATATACAATTTTTGAGTAAATAAACATGCAAAAGAATGTTTTCCTGTGTATAAGAATCAGAATAATTTTGTCACTAAGTATTGATATTTTTTGAATGTTAAAGTATATGCGTACAATTAATACACAACTGGAAAAAAATCACTAATATTACTGCTTGCTGATTTATATAAGCTCAAATCTGTGCAAGCATGTACATTACATACACGATTGTACAGAGTTGAGTACATTACATACACTCTAGCAGTTGAAGGTTTTGTAATTTACGATAAATTACCATACACCTCGAGAATCAGCCACCCAAGGTTTGGGCATTCCGGGGTCAGGCATCGGTCTTGTCCGTCTACCCGCCGAGGTTGGGCTCCGGAGATCAATAAGAGAAGAGCTCTTTTGGATTTTGGCCCTCAACGCAATCAATTCCTAAATCTACTCTCACATACATTTATACTTATTTATAAATCATTCAGTCAGTGAGTGTAGTGGAATAGAGTCAATGGGTTACTATTCACGCCAATAAATTCATTCATCTCTTCATTCACACCCGCTAGGGACACAAAACTGACAGTATTATGTACAACAAAACAACCCTGTTTCCTCCAAAAATCGGAACCAAGGAGGACCAACGGGACCAAGGTTCTCGCTGCCTGCACCAGCAGAATTCTCATATCGGGTCCAAATTCGGACACGCTCTCTACATGGAGTCAAATGATACCCTTAAAGTAGGTGGAACACATTAAACAATCTTTATCTACATGCTGTTATGTGAACTTCTCGTGGTCTATTCTTAATTAGGTGAAGATCTTCCAAGGGTCACGTATCAACAGTGTTCTTGATACATGAGAGCTTCTCTGCTTATCTAGCCCACCGACGCTAGTCTGAAGGTCGGGATGTCTCGGAATTAGCAGCCTCGACCGCCTTTTCGCTCTTCGTACCTGTATGCTAAGGTATACAAACAACAGTATTGTTAAGACATTCTAATTCTTTTGGCATTTCTCTAACAAAACAGGGGCGTCGGGACCTGACACGGACCGCAACCGCACTGAGAAATTTGGTTCAGACAAGGTAAGGAGAGTCATCATCGTCCCGAACCACCTAAACGCGTGGCAAATCGCATGCATTTCCACCGGATAAACGCAATGGTGCGGTGCGAGCAATCGTGCTCACTGCATCTTTCGTGCACTTCTTACACCTTTCTCTATTTTCCCAAAAAAAAAACAAAGTTAGATATAGCTAGAATTACATGCACAAGGAGGTAGACAATCGACAATCCTATTTAAAAAGCGCTATATATATATATATAAGTTACATCCGCAACGGCTGCTTCTGTCATTATAATAGATCCTGCAGACTCAGCAACTCTACAGAGGCTATATTGGACCCTCTCCCACCATTTTTGAAGACTTTACTCGGACTCAAACTCGGAGTTGAACCGCATCTTAATCACGACCTCGTCCTAAATTTTATTTTACATATTGTTTATTTTTATGTTTATGTTTGTAAACTGTCGTTGAGTCAAATTTATAACTTTATTTATATATATACATACAAAATGCAAAATTTTGGGCCATCCAAAAGGGCAATCCAAAAAGGTGGGTACACCGCTGGAAGCTAATTGAATGGAAAACTTTTGAGGGAATTTTCAAAGCTCCAGGAGTCTATATACATCAAGCCTTCTGCACTTGAAGAGGTGCTCGACCGTTATTCTATCTTTACATAGAATCGTACGTATATCGGTCGCTTTCCGGCCAGAAGTTGCCCTTGCGTTATTCTTGTATGACCTATGCGTAGTCTTGTCAGTACGGCCTTTTCCCTTTTCGAACCGTTCTCCGTGGCCCAGGGACCGACTTCTTTCTTAACCTGCCACAGTTTGGCAGGGTTATTTCTATTTCTTCGAGCCCAGCGGTTTTCCCATTCTCGTTTTACAGAGTTTGAAATTAGTAGTTTTAGGTCCGCTGGGAAATATATCATATAATATATAAAAAAGTATATAATATATAAAATTTGTTATAAATTTTTAAATTTAATAGCACTTGCTAACAGTTAAATTAATTGAAATAGTTATAAATAAACTTAAAAATAGTTGAGTGGTGTATAAACTACAATCTTCAGTCATGAAACGTCCATAGATAACTATAGTATTTTTATACAAACAAATGAACCAATATAAAAATGGGTTAAATAACAAAAATAGTAGAAGTTTAAGCCAACATGTAACAGATCAAGGAAAGGACATAATTTTCAAGAGGTAAAGGTAAACGAGAGAATAATCATCAAAAATAATTGTGTTAGAGAACAAGCTTATCATATGGAAAATAGAAACGTAATTATTCATCAAGATCAAAACGAAGAATGTAAACAGTTTAAAAATATTTTAGCAATTTATGAGAATAATTTAAATTAAATTAAAAATGTACATATTTTGGAAATTAAAATACATGTAAATAATAGCTGTAAACATAACTAATTTGTAAAACATAAAGTTGTAAATGTAGAATTGCACAATTAAGGATAAATTTCAAAGAAACATGTAAAAATGAATCAATACCACAGACACATAAAAACTATATTTTAGGAGTAAATAACACCACCCCTTGCGTAAATGCACCTCAAAAGAAGCGTCATATTTATGCTTTTTTTCGGATCTGAAAATAGGTGGCAGCTCCAGCAATTAGCATAATTTAATTATATATTTTAGATATTTAACATTAGGAAAATTATTGTTTGGAAAACTGTATGAAATTTGTAAATTGTCAAATCTAAAGATTGATGAGGGGAGGTGTATACAACTTGATCTCAAATAGAATCTGATTGTCTTTTAATCCACTCATTTCTACGTACATTACAAGTCTAAAATGTGTTTCATTATTAGACAAAAGAGAAAAGTAACAGACAATCCATTTACCAACATTTTACTTAATTACAAATTTACATTAGATTTCGTGGTCCGATTGACCAAATAACTTCTTTCAATTAATTAATCTTTATGTAAGGTATTGGTTGAAATTAAAAAGTTAGTGTCAAGAGCGGGATTCGAACCCACGACCTTCGGCTCAATATGCCGCAGCTCTAACCGCTTGAGCTATCGTGACAAGTGGTTAGAGCAGCGACGTATTAAACCGAAGGTCGTGGATTCGAATCCCGCTCGTGACACTAACTTTTTCATTTCAACCAATACCGTACATAAAGATTAATTAATTGAAAGAAATTATAAATTACTTTCTACGTTTGATCAATCATACCAAAAAAATTGATCAAAGAAATGTTTAACCTGTTTGTGGATCATCATTAATTTAAAAAACCTAAATTAATCTTCAACTAAGCACATGATTCATCCTAGTTTAACAAGTTTCAATTTATGTTGTCGTTCATTTATATTTTCGGCATTTTTAAAACATAACAAATATAGATAATGTTAATTAGATTTAAATTTTAATGTACCGTTACATTTAAATTCTGGCATATCTAAATCAGCCTTTTTGCTCTTTAAATCCGAATAACTGCAGCAGTACATATAGCCTTGAGATAAGTTCGGCGTTGCTCTTTTAGCCTTTCCTTGCATATTGTTCTCATTTACAAACCAATTATTTGCGGTACAGATGTCACTGCAGAACGGTGTTGGCTGAGCATCTAGAAACGGATTGTTTGTACATACAAAAACAATGCATGATTTGTCCTACAAAAGAAGAAATTGATTTGGGATATTTTGTATTATATTATTTTTTCAACTCGCCTTTGGGTCTTGAACCAGTTTCCAAAAGTAATCCGGCACCGGTATCTTGCCTGCGTGGAGCGACAGTGGCACGTCAGTGCCGTTTTGGTCTTTAATTTTGCACACCCCGTATGTTCCGGTAGCAACTTCGTACACGTCCTGCAAATAAACAAACGTACAAAAATAAACAACAATCCGAATTATACGATTAGAAAAACAAACCTACAGATTGTTTATTATCCCTAACCGCCGTTTCTAATTTTTTCCACGCTCCGTTGTTAATGGTCTGCCATTGCGGAGCCGCATTGCTGAAACCGAAGGTGAACGATTGCCATGATTTGAAAGGTAAATCTTTGACCGGGGTCAAGTGTCCTCTTGACATAAATTGATTATTATTTACATATTTCGAGACGTTGCTATCACCTACTATCTTTTTTAACATTGTGATTTGATGATTCTAAAACAACAGTAAGATCAACAATATTTATTTATATTAGACGTGAAACTATCATACTTTTTTATAGTAATTGTCTGGATTGTAATCTTTGAATAAATCTTTTGATTCTTTTCTAAAAGAGCTTCTTTGGTAGGATCCACCATCTATCAATTCTCTCCGGACCGTGTGCAAGGAATAATAGCTCAATCCATTAGTTTGATTGTGGCATATTTTTATAAGTGAATGCCATCCTGCCGCCTTTAAAATATAAAAGTTTACGATTACCCAATTTAGTTAATGAACTAACCACTAGAAATGGAAGAAAAAAGAAATAAAATTAACATTAACCCAAGAGCATTAATAAAATCCTCGTCTATATTTAATTTTTTATATTATATTCTTTATGTTGATTTAGATTTTAGTAGTTTGTTATTTTATTTAATTTTATAGATTCTACTCTACTTTCCAGAAAAGCGTGACGAATCAATCCGAAGGCGTGCAATTTCGTAAATCACTACAGAAATATAATACACGATTAATTGTGACGAATGAAAGTTCATTGAAGGTTAAATTTTTTACAACAAGAAACGAAAATCATTATTATTTATCACACACTGAGAACTCCTGAATAAAAAATATTAATACAAAAATAATATGAAGACAAATAAACGAATGTGAATCGGAAGACCAAAATGTTCGGGAACGAGTTGTAAATTGTTTGGCACAAAAGTTTATCGTTTTGAGTTATTTCATAAGGGCATATAGATAAAAAGTTTCTCACTTTATTTAATGGTTAGTTAAGTTTTCCGTTTCTGATTCTGTAAATACAAACTAAACATACATGTTTTTGTTAGAACTACGTCCAATGAAATATTTTAACTTAACGCGGGGGAAGTAGGATGTTTGGTGAGGTGTGATGCATACTCTCAACCAAATTATTTATCCAACTATTTATCGTTCAATGAAGGATGAATTTCCAAAAATATGACGATACTGCATCATAGAATAAAGCTAAATTACAGACGATTACTAAGATATATGACGATTTTAAGAGAAAACTATGACATTTAGGTTATATTTTAATTAAAGCCAAAAGAAAAGCTAACGAAAATTAAGTTTTGTATGAAAACCTACGGCGATTTACTTTACATTATATAATTTAACGATTTATTTTCACAATAGCTAGGTAACCTGTTTTTATAGATTTTTTGCTGCTTTTCATAAAATAACATGAACTTGATCTGCCAAAAAAACCCATATTTTAACGATTTTAAGAAATTAAACTGTTTTCCTAGGTTGAGGTTCGATAAACCAAGATGGAAACTAGTAAACTAGGGAACATATTGAATGGTTTTTAATTGTACAGATCAAGTACGTTTTATTATTAAAAAATTAATATGTTATTTTATATTATAAACGAAAATCGCGTCTGATAAATTAATTTAAATAAATAAATTTGATATTTTCAGATATTCAAATATTCTTAGAACATACCACGTTTTGAGATGCAATAATGTAAAAAGTCGTTTCAAAATTTCAATTAATTATTAATTTTATGTAAGGACTTCGTTGAGATGTCAAAGTTATAGTAACGAGCAGGATTTGAACCCAAGACCTTAGGCTCAATCTTCTCTAAGCTTCTCTAACCACTGTCAATGTCATAGCTCGAAAATAACAGAATCGGCGTATTGAACCGAAAGTCGTGGGTTCGAATCCCGCTAATGACACTGAATTTTCCATCTCAAACAAGATCGTAGATAAAGATAATAATTAATTGAAATCTATGAAGACCTATGATCAATTATGACCTCTAAACATATATGGGTTACTTCAAAATAAGAAAACGAACCATGCTAAATGTGTAGTATTATGTAAACAATCATTGACACAAACTCAAGTATTTGAAATCTAGAAATTTTTTTAAATTGATTTTATTTATTGTAATCTGTAAAAAATAAATATACGTTGAGCAAATAATATAAACAATTGTAAAAAATTCTGACAGGCCTGGCAAATTATAAGGGAGTAGGGAGACAAACCAGCCAGTATTGGAACTCTCTTTTATTCAGTTGGGGGGAGGTCACGAGACCATGGTCATTTTAGATGGCGTGGACTGTTAGAAGGTTATGGCGTTATGGGGCTTGACGGTTAGGGTGGAGGGATAGTTTAGAGTGGAATTTGATGAAACGTGTTCTGATCAGATCTTCACGAATGGAATTTTAAGGTCTTTATGGACCATTTGATTGGTGACGTAGAAGGGAGTATTGACAATTCGATGGAGAACTTTGGTTTGAAAGGATTGGATTCGTTGGATGTTGGCGGATTTGGCCGACCTCCACTTTTCGACTCGGTAATTCCCAATCGCATATTTAGATGTGTACGTATGTGTGCAGTATATGTAAAAGATTAGATCTAGAATACTTCCTTGTGGAACGCCAGTAAAAGAAATTAAATATTGTCGTTAACGTTTCCGTGCAGTAGAGAAATAGTTGGTCGAATACAAAAATGGATATTCTTTTTGTCCATTGAAATAACTTTTGTTGCGAAATTTTCCTATTAGGCCTGGCGATAAACTATGGTAATTTGGTTGTTCCCAATCGTTATAGTCTATCCACGCTGTCACTTGAGGTTTTGACATTTCGCCATCTTCAGTTGTCGATTTGGCGAAATGCGGAAACGTGTGTAATTATTAAATCTTCAAAAATTTATGAATCCCATAATTGTACACCTGAAATCCGACTTCAACTATTATCCCCTTCGATTGGGCGCATGGTCGACTAGTGATATTAATACTTGAAGACACATTTCTCTGACAGGCAAGGGTCTTGAAGGTTACTTCCTCATGATTCACCACGAACACGTTGTCGCCTTTACAACTAACTTTTTGCATAGGCTTACTAGTTTTCTGCAACCTATTAGCTCTCGAAGGGCAAACAACGTAAAATTCCTGAAAAACAAATATCACATTTTAACTTTTTCAGAAACGTAGAACCAAAATAAAAAATTACATACATCACGAGCATTGATATGAAACACATCGTCTTTGTTTTCAAATTTGGGCAAAAAGAAATCGAGACCTTTCTCATCTCTCTTCAGTAAAAATGGCTCTTTTTCATTAGGGAAATCATTTTTGACTGATATTTTGCACTCTTAAAAATTAATTAATACCCTCAGGATATTTTAGTTTTTGGTAATGAAAAAAAGTAATCTTACCACCATCCCTCGAAGATACACTTGATGCAGACAGATCCAAAAAAATAAATGTGACAAGGAAAAAAGTTTTGAACATTTCAACGCTGTGCCGCTGCATTCTATTGCTGTTCAATTATCATAATATATTTATAATAAAAAATAGGCTTAAGAACAATCAATTTTCAACTGGTTAGATCTACGAATCTGATGATTCTTAAACTTTGTATTAAAATGAAGTTAAATCACTGCTCTCTTTGCTGACACAACTGTTTCTGACGCGATCAATTATTCTAACTGTAAAACTCTATTTTTTTTAGATTCATGAAAAATTTAATTTCAACATTTTTCAACTTACCCAGAAATCAATTAACGGTGTATTACTAACATAAACGTGTTATCTGTTATACGCTATTCTTAATAAAAGTGGCAAATGGCACATTACAATCGAGTAAATATTTGCTATGAATGAAATGTTTTACCAACAAACGACGACGGCATTTAGAAAATGAATAAATTTTGAAAACAACCTTCAGCTTTAAATCGTCGTTAAAAATAAACAATTACAAACCCATTAACGTTATACAAATCGAATGCGAATTTAAACCTCTCGTTGGATCTATAAAATATTGTACAATAAAATTATATTACGGGTTAAAAAATACTAAATTGAAAGACATTAAACAGTTCGATCTGATATGTTTTTTTAAAGAAATTCAAGTGAAATAACTTGTTTCATGCCATTTATAAAAGCCTTTTTTTAACATTAATGAGCCCTCTATGATTTTATCATAATCACAATATTTTATTTGTTTAAATATTTATACAGAATGGTCAGCTCGTAGTGTTAAATTTTGTTTCGTTAAAACGTTATGATAATTTTTCATTTTCTTTACATAAAACCTTCACATAACAAAAATTCTACACTCTAACGTATCTTTTCCCAACTTTTGAACTCATTTTTAGATTTAACACCAAATTTTCTTTTAGATTAATCTACCTCTGTTCTAAGAATTGCGAGTTTACTTACAAAATAACTGTACAAACATCATTAAATTGCGACACTCTCACAAAAACACAAGAAAAATAACAACAAAACAACAGGAAATAATGTAGTTTTTAAGAAAATATGGATTTGGCCCAAAGTTCATTCTACATTCCAGAAATTAATAAAAAAAAGATTCCATTACGAGTAATATCCGAAAAAACCGACATGCACAAAAAATTATGAAACTGAATGTAATTTTACAACCATTTACTGATTTCAACAATATCTAATAATAAAAATGTTTAGATTACAACTTTTATTTTGCATTTGGAGTGATTAAAATACAATTATTTTCAATTCAATCAGTATTTAAATTGTTGTACATGTTCCAAGGAACATAGAGTGAATGAATGAATGAATGAAAAAGTACTTTATTAGATAAACAAAAGAGAGTAAAAAAATTGTACATTATCAAAAAGCACATTTCGGCAATGGTTATCAACCGTCTGCCGGAGTCGGACTATACATTTTTAATAAACAAGGAACATATTTCTTCTTAAGGAATAAACAAAAGAGAGCGAAAAAACTATATAAATAAACTAAAATAACAACATATCTATTTATGCACATATAAATAACCAGGGTGTCTCTGATATATACAGTAAACATTTAATAGTTGAAATAAAAAACAAGCGTTTTCCTGTAGTTCCAGGTTTCCATCGCAAACTTTACCAGATTTAAAGACTCGGGGTTATTTAATAAAGAGATTAGGTGCTCTCTCGTCAACATGGGCAAGCCTATATGCCGTGCTCGGAACTCAGCTAAAACCGGGCATTCTGCTAGAAAATGGAAACAGTCTTCTCGAGCCTGCCTGTTGCAGAGAGAGCACCTATCGGAACTATTGACTCTTGTGGGGTTATAATTGAGGTACAGTAACTCGCACCTAATTTTGAAAAACCAGCGAGCTAGCGGAATGGACGGAATTTTAGAATATTGCGCCATGTTCAAGAAAGGTTGACTGATATTAAGGTCCTTATAGAGCAAAAATCTAGAGGAATTCTGAGCATGGAGGAGACATTTCACTGTGTGAGAAGTGCGGATATTGTTAATTAATTTTGAGTGTAAAAGTGGCCACTCTTTGAGATTGTCCAGGGAAAAATTGTCATTCAGCTGCAATTGTTGAGCCAAGTTATTCCAGGAAGAAAACCATGATATTTTGGATCTTATGATTTCCAGCGCTGTATTCTTAGGAAGGCGGTAGTTAGGAAGATTTAGGACCCTGTAGACATAGGAAGTATGTAACTGTAATGTAAATTGAAACAAAAGTTCAACGGAGGTTTCGAGGTAGATCATGTAGTTAGGCGTGAAAGAAGGGAGGTGATAAATTTTACGGATAAAATAGCGTTGTAGGGATTCAACTGTTTCATAGCGCTGGAAACCCCAAGCCTGGGAAGCGTAGGACACAATCGAGCGGCAAACAGCCAAAAACAGCCTATATTTGCTGCACACCGGGACAAGATTATTGGAAGTGAGTTTAGCCCAAATTGAATTCATTGCATATTTTGCAATATGAGTTTTTCGCTTGAGGTGAACATTGAGTGAAAGTTTAGGGGTGAGAATTAGGCCCAAATATTTATACTCATTGACTGTTTCAATGCGAGAGCCCTTAAAATACCAGCGTTCATTAGCCGCAAGCCTGCCTCCCCTACGAAAAACCATAATTTTGGATTTGTTTAGGTTGACCGAAAGATTCCATTTATTACAGTAAGTCTCTAAGGCATTAATATTTTTTTGCAGGGTAACCGGTGAGTCTGACAGAATCACAATATCGTCCGCGTACAAAAGAATCTTTATTTCAATATTTCCGTAGCGTATACCGTATTCAAGACAATCCGGGAGATCGTCGAGGAAAAGGGAGAATAATAAAGGACTCAAGTTACATCCCTGTCTAACCCCTGAGCGCACCTCAAAATATCCCGAGATACCCCCCTCCCCAACTAGATAGAGTATTTGGTACAAGATTTTCTCTATTTCCAATTTTAATCAACTTCACTCGGTAATTGGTGCACTTTTGCTTGGTTTTCACTATGCATAGTTTGTCGTCGAATTGGACATTTATCGGCGACAATGACTGCACATCGCATTATTGCATTTAAACTTTAGAATATTAGCTGAAATGTTTCTTACATCCCAACACGCCAATAAAAATTGCTATAAAATGAAAAATATTTTATTTACATTTAATCTATAATTGTTTTATCAGCAAATAAAAAGTTTCTACCCCGTCATGATCGAGCACATACTTATTTCGTATTAAAAATAACTAGCTTCTTGGATTTTTCGTCCAGACTGCTTTTTTAACAGATAAATTAATATGATAAATACTAACATGTTAAAATTACTTGTTTAATTTTTCAAGTTATTTTAATTTTGGTGGTTTGTTTAAAATAAAATTGTCTTTCTTTAAATATCTACTTATAGGTGCGCATGATGCTGGCAGTTCCCAAAATATTCATAGCACAAGCAAATACATTTTGAAGTTGTGGGATTTTCCCCTGTATACGAGGTGTTAAACGTACAATTTGTTAGTTACCCATCATCCTGGTCGGCAATCTTCCTTGCTCTTTGTTCAGACGCGTTTCGTCGTTAAGCCATCCTCAGAGGGTGATTTCTATGAACTCGACGAAAGTGGCTAAACGCCGAAACTCTTCTGAACTAACAAAACAAGCGCTAGATAGCGCACAAGATATCTTCTGTCTTTAAAACCGTTCTGTTTGGCTTGAAAAGGAGGAGTCAGTACTGATATTATGAGTGACACGTGTGATTCCAAGGATTATTCATACAGATGCTCAGAAGTCTAGGAAAATTAAGAAAGTAATGACAATATAAGATCTGACAGAGTGATTGAATAATCAATTACTTAAAAGAGAGACAGTGAATAAGTGATGGATTGCGCTTCACTACAACGAAACCGTGATTGAATCAATCAATGAAAAAGGGAAGATTGATTGAGTTAAAAAAACGGTTAAAATTAAGATAGTCGCTTAATTAATCGATCAATGAAAAATGCGAGAGTAATTAATCTAACAGTTATAATAAAAGAAAAATTGTGCCAAATTATGTTTTATACAAAGAGCAACAAATATGTTAAACTCATTGAAAATATACATGTATTTAATTTTTTGTTTAAGTAAATTTATAAATATAGATCTAAATATTAATTAGATAGTTTTAATACGTATTTCAAATTGTTTCCATCCATTTAAAAAATTTTGTGGTTTTTATTTTAATACTATAAATATTTCTAAATTTATGTAGAGTTATAACCGCTATAGTTTTATTGTACACATTTGTAATTTGGAAACCGTTAAATAAATAAATAATTTATTTAAACACTCAGTTAGATATAGAAAATTAATCAATCAATCGGTAAAAATTGGTGAGTTGTTGAGTCAAACATAAGTAAAAATTAGAGAATAATTGAGTTATTCAATCAATCAGGAGAGAGAGAGGGAGAGAGTGATATAATCTATCAGTAATCATGAAAATAATCTGTCAGTTAAAGTTCATGGAGTGAGCTAATCATTCGGTTGATAATCAGAGAGTGACTGAGTTAAACCGTTAAAACTAAGCGTTTTTTTTTTTTTTTTTTTTTTTTTTTTTTTTTTTTTTTTTTTTTTTTTTTTTTTTTTTTTTTTTTTTTTTTTTTTTTTTTTTTTTTTTTTTTTTTTNTTTAGGTAATCAATGACCTTCCGTTTATAATCACTGTTGTGCTTAAGTACTTTTGTTATGTCATTAGGAAGGCCACACCGTACTCTGTGTGGCGCTAGTTGTTCGCATTCTTCTAAAATATGCCTTACTGTTACAATTGCGCCGCACATGGGGCATTTCGTCGGTCTCTTGCCGTTTAGTTATTAAGAGAGTGACATAATTAATCAATCAATGAAAAATAGGAGAATGAATCCGTTAATCTATTACTTAAAATAAAAAAATAATTATGCCAAATTCAGTTTTATACAGGGAAAAACAAATATGTTAAATAATTTGTATTTTGTAATTGGTATTAATAATTTGTATAATTAAATAATGTTAATATTAATTAGAGAGTTTTAATAATATTTCATTTGTTTTTATAATTATACAATAACTATTTTTAAATGTATGAACAGTTATAACTTTCATACATTTATTAGTTTAATTTTTTTTTTTGACTTATGATCTATGCATATTAACCATGGTGACGAATTTTTATAGGTGTGTTCATATTTTAGGGGGGGTATCTTGAAAAAAGGGCCAGAGGCGACGGTGGGAATCGAACCCACGACCGCGGCGTCTATGAGCCGAGAGTCTCTCACGCTAACCACTCGGCTACCGCGGTCCCCCTTAGTTTAATTGATTAATTATTATTTTTTAAACTGGAGTTATCATGGAAATGTGGTTGATTTACTCAAACAGTTAAATATGATAGAGAGAGTAAAGCAATTAGTGGCAAGTGAACTAGTGATTGAGTTATCCGATCAGTAAAAATTGGAGAATAATTAAGTTAATCAATCAGTCAGGATTAAAAGTGAGAGATCGAGCAAGCGAGGAGAGCAAGAGAGAAAGAGAGAGTGATATAGGCACTCGTATATGGTATATGTGAATCAGTCAATTAAAGTTTATTGAGTTATGGAGTGAGTGAGTTAATCATTCTGTTGATAATGAGAGAATGAAAGAGTTAACCAATCAAATAGAAACACTGAGCTGAACAAACAGTGATAAGTGAGAGAGGGAGGGAGAGAGAGAGAGAGAGTGAGAGAAAGAGAGGTGTACATTATTATTAATATATATTAATTATTGAAATAATTAAAAGCAAGCCATATAAAGATTAAAATGTCTTTATTTCATTATTGACAACATTGAAATAAATTAATCATGAAAGATGAAAACGAAATAGACGAAAATCATCCAGATTAAACGTAATGTAATGTACTATGACAATCGAAATGCGGTACATCAACTACAGCACGTTTAAAATCATCGTAACTGCAGCAGTAAACAAAGCCTTTTGACATGTCCTGGTTCCGTACAGGCCACTTGTTTCTAGCGCAGACATCAGTGCAAATCGGTGCTGGCGGGGCTGAAAGAAATGGATCGTTGATACTTACGAATGCGATGCAAGACTTGTCCTAGAAAAAACCGAATCAATGTTAATTTTGAATATTTTCAGCAGTGTTGTTTTCATTTAAACTTGCCACTGGGTCCTGGACTATTTTCCAAAAATATTCCGGAACTGGTATCTTGTCGCCGTTAAGCGACACTCCCACTGCAAGGCCTTGTTTGTTTTTGATTTTGTACACACCATGTGTTCCGGTGGCAACTTCGTACAAATCCTGAGAGTGAAAAGTAAAAATTATATAAAATTCAAAATAGACGGTTAGAAAGTAATAAACGTACAGATTTCTTATTTTCCCTAACCAGCGTTTCTAAAGACAACCATGCTCCGCCGTTAATGCTCATCCACTGCGGAGCTGCGTTGCTGTACACAAAGGTGAACTTTTGCCAAGTTGTCAAAGGAAAATCTTTGACAGGGCTTAAGTGGCCTCTAGCCAAAAATTGGCGTTTGTTGACGTATTCAAAGATATTTTTACCTACGATCCTTTGAAACACTTCTTTTTGATTCGTCTGTAATACATTGATTATTTATTATTCGTTTAGTGAAATTTGACTACAACCTACTCGTTTATAATAGTTGTTCGGGTCGTATCCATGATACAGACGCTGGGATGCTTTTTGAAAATTACTTCTTTTGTATAATCCTCCTTTTATCAATTTTGTTCGGACAGTGTGCGTGGTATAATATGTATGTCCGAGTTGAATGTTGTGGCATATCCTTAAAGTTTTATGCCAACCCATTGCCTACAAATAAATGGAAACGTAAAATTAATAACGTTGAATTATTAAATTGTAGTATTAAATTTATTATCGATGAAGAATACTTTATGACACATCGATGGATTAAAAAAATTATTGAATTTGTGTTGAGATTGAACAATTAAAATTACCCAACATAACGGCTATAAATAAGATTTGTGATTAATTCTTTCCTACTAAAATCTTACTTGAAATCCAATTTCAATTATGGTTCCCCCATTTCTTGCGCATTTCGTTCCGGTAATTTGTACGTCTGGTTTCACCTCTGCATGGCAGGCAAGCTGGCTAAAATTGAAGTTTTGATTTCCCACTGAAAGAACGTTGTGTCCTTTGCAGTCGACCCCTTGTATATGCCTTTTTGTCGCACTCACGTAATTACTTGCTGGCGGACAAACTAGATAAATTCTCTGAAAAATTATGTATCTTTTATTTATTTTATTTTTTTACATTTACGTTCAACTATATATACCTCGCCCTTATTCACACGAAACACATCGTCCTGGTTTTCGTAATCTGGAAGGAAGAAGTCGGCATCGTCGCGACCTCTCTTCGTCCTCTTCAATAAAAACGGTTCCTTGTCTTTAGGAAAATCCTTCTGGGCCGATATAGAGCAGTTGGCTAAAAAATAATTATTTTATTTAAGAGAATTGCAGTTTTTTGTTTTAATAAAAGTAAAAAATTACCGGCATTCAATAAAAATTGACTAGATACAAGAAAATCACAAAGTACGAATGTGACGTACAAAAGAACTTTTAGTTTGTGACACTGCATTTTTTCTCGTTGGTCATTAACAGTATCCTTTGGTCAGCTAAAAATAAAAACAAATATATTTTTAGACGAATATCAGACTGATGCCGACAGCAGTCAAGCAGGTGAACTGACTAAGGGAACAGCCGCTTGGAATGGCTTGGAATAACGGAACTTCCAACTCCTTGAGTAGTACGATTAAAGACGCCTTTTACATTGTTTATTTTTAATTTTCTCGTTGTTCTTGCCTAGATTTAGATTTTTTCAAACCATATATTTTTCAAAAATTGTACAGTAAGAATAATTAACTGCATTATTATAATAAAATTAATCAATTAAATTTAATTTGAGGTGTTCAATAAAAAATTTACCGCATATGAATTTCTATACGAAAAATATTCACACACAAAACATAACCCCATATTTTTAAAATAGGGATTTTGTTTTGTTATGAAAATACTGTTTGATTTTCTTTTCTTCAAATTTGATCTCAAACATAAAACTAACTTTAACTTAAAATAACACTCCATATTAAAATTTCATAATTGGGTAAAATAAGGTTTTGAATAAAATTTAGTAAAAACCATTGCACTTTGTCAATTCATGTAATACCAAAAAGTGTTATTTAAGGCGTTAATGTATGCAATTTTCAATAAATAGGCCCTGAATGACGATATAAATCACCAAAAGCTTAGTTAACCGAAAATGTCTACTTCATATCAGGCATCTTATAAAGATAACCCAAAATGGTGAATATAAACTCGAACTTAAAATTACTTTTTGTTAAACAAACTTCTTTAATTGTCAAATAAATACATACAAAGTAAAAAAAGTGTTAAATGAATGGACAAAATATCTTTATAGTGTAACGGAGAGTTTTCAAACCATTAATAATGATAAGGAAAAATGTTTTTTTGCGCCAAGAGTTTTATTGTTCTGGTGCCACATGTTTATGCTGCGTTCTAGAGATAAAAGCGGTAACAAACCGCACTAAAACTGGCATTGATCGCAATGTCAAACCAAGGTGGTATCTCATCAAAAGTGTGAAAGAGTCCACTAAGACTAAGAAATTTTGTTAAAAAATTGAATGGACATTCATATCCGTAATAAGCCGTGCGCAGTCCAAGGCCCAATGTTCAAATCAGATATTTGCCTAGTGTTTGATGGAAAAATGTGCACCTCGGGCCTGTCCTAGATCGACTATGACCTCAAAAAGCGATTTATTTGAAAAATTCCTTCAGTTTCAATGTAGGAGTTTCATACTATTGACCGGTACAGGTAAAAATTGTGTGCAGGAGTCAGTTGCCTCACCCTGCTTAAAACCCTGATGTCGCGTTATCTTACTCTTCTGGATTATACAATGAAATACACTATTTATGAAATGTTTCGTGAAAACTATTTTTGCTTAAGGATTTTGTGTACTTGCAAATCTTAGGGCAAAATAGAAAACAAAAATTAATACATCTAGTAAAGACTGGAATACATTAATTGATTAAGGGCAAATGAAAGAAATTAATGAACAAATTCCTGTTTATTTCAACAAAATTTATTCTACATACATTTTCTTAGAAGGATATTTAATAATCTTCAAAGCAAAGTCAAAATCTATATTTAAAGAATGAAATTTATAAACTTTTTTGTTACAAAAGCGTTAGTTATATGCAACTTTATCGTTTATATAAACTTATGAACACGAGATTTTCTACATTAATCAACAACTCAGCACTATACACAATTCTTACTAAAAAATATTCTCACGAAAATCGGAAAAGCCATTGAAAGTTAGGTGTCTTAAAGGTTTGCCGGGGAAGAAACGGGTGAACAGATTGTGGCCTGGAATGGCCGTATTCTTTGAAAGTTGGAACCCTTGGTTGAACCCACAGTTCAATTTTGTATGTCCAGTTTGATTGTAGTAAGAATGTGAAAATGATACATTTGTTTTATAGTCATAGTGTTGATCTGTTGTCAAATAGTCTCTTATCGAGTATGGGCTTCAAAGTAAATCTTTTGTCGATGTAAAGCCCCAAATTGTGGGCTGCATTGGTTGTTGAAAAAGTTGTGATGGATGAGAAGAAAAATGATATGGCAAATAATGAAGGTTATTACCTGGAATTTGATTTAATTAATTATCTTCAACCATTCTTCCAAACTGGACAATTTTTTTATTTTCCTTCTATGGAACATAGTTGAGAACGCTCGGATATGTAGGAGTATTTTTCAATTTTAATCGAAAAACCTTTGTTGCTAAGGTTTCCACGTCTGTAGTCCTTTTCAGCTGATAGTCATTAACTGTCGTTTGATTTATTTTTAACAGTGGTGAAATGACACTGTTGTCCTTTGGAGCGAAGGAAACCGACACTTCTAATTGAACGAATTTCCGTTTGGGTTAACTATCAATTAAAACTCTTAGACATTTCAGACTTCTGGGCCCAAAACTTGCCGAAGACCTTTGGTTGTTTGAAATAAAAGAAAAAAATATTAAAACTTTATTTGCGAAGGAAAAATTGTAAACAGGACCAAAGCCGTTCATGCGTAACCACAGCAAACGAATTTTCCTACGGTTCTTTGATTCATGGCCCTTTTCATTTCAAAAATGTTTTTTCGTTTTAAAATCTACGGCTAAGTTCAAAATCAACAGCATACCCGTTGAGATAATACGTGTTTGGGTAGGTCTTTAGTTTCCAAAGCATGCCCGAGTTTCCCCCGATTCGTTCGAAAACCTGTTTTAAATCGAGAAAGATATCCAAGCAATTCTGGTTTTGGTCATGGGGAGAGGCAATATTGAGTGGTCGAGTGAAATGTAAGGAATGCAACATGATGATCGGAAATGATATTGAAATTTTCGGAGGCAATAATCTTCTGAGGAGGAATATTTCTACACTGAGAGGCAAAATTAGTGGCCAACCTGGATATTTTTTTTTACTAAATACTAGTAATCTTTATTATTTTATTTTATTTTTTAATGGATATTTTAAAAGAAAATATAAGATACAGGTTAATAAAAAAATTAAATTAAATATTAAGCTAAGTAAAACAATTTTACCAGAAATGTCAAAGAGGAGGGAAAATTCAAAGGGTGAGGTTGAGATGGGAAATTGGTGTCCGAGTGGATCGAAGTCACGGTAGCACAAGTGGTAGGGTAGCGGCGTATCAAGCCGAAGGTCGTGGGTTCGAATCCCGCTCGTGACACTAACTTTTTCATCTGAACCAACACCTTAAATACAGATTAATTAATTGAAATGTATTATTTGGTCAAGCGGACCACTAAAACTAGTGAATTTAATAAGTTAAATGAAGTATATCTTCACTAAAGCTGTCCTTGGCCATTTCATTTGTCGCCGAGAATCGAATCCTGATTACGCGACATTTGAAAAATGGCAGAAAGGGGGGAATATTCAAAAGGTGAGGTTGAGACCATAATTCACCATATTAATTATTCCAATTAATTAATGATAAATGACAAAATGATGGAAACTTCGATTGGTTGTAGGTTGAGATGGGAGGTTGATGTCCGAGTGGATCGAAGTCACGAGCAGCGGCGAATTTAGCCGAACGTCGTGGGTTCGAATCCCGCTTATGACACTGACCTTTTTATCTCAACCAATACCATAAATACAGATTAATTAATTGAGAGATATTATTTGGTCAAGCGGACCACGAAAACTGGTGAATTTACCAAAAATGTTGTTATGGAAACAATGAAGAAAATATTCAATTCAGTTCAAAGAATTTCCTCCATGAGGTAGTGCAATGTAGTGCTGTGGCATACATTCATAGTCTCTCCAACAGCGCCGAATAACCAGGCTACTTTCTACCCTTTTGAACAACTCGTCCGTCCCAAAGGTGTAGGTGATGGAGGTGAGGATACTAGGAAGCGGGGTTTGTGTTCCCCAGGCACTGCAGCCCTCTGACCAAAAGGTGTTAGTGCTTAAGCAGCAAAGCCCATTCCAGGTAATCACCAAATATCCTAATTCAATTTCCACAGTGAAGCATATCTTCAGTGGCATGGGACGATCGTAGAACACGGCCAGGGCATGTCCACTGTTCAGAACGGTGTCCTGTACGGCTCCATGCCTAGGGAATCCCGCAATACGTCCTATAAACAGCCTTTTTTCTTCAAATTGAATTCCTTTTTGAGTTAGTGTTATCATTTTATGGGACATTCCTAGCATTATTTTTTTAACAAACAAATTACATCTGTATTCGCCACAGGTATATATCATCAGGGCAACAATCGATTATCTTGAAATAATGAATTAAATAATCTTAATAGAAATACTGGTTTATTTTATGTTGGAAATATAATTCCGATTGTTGATGTATTATTTAATATGATTTAGTTCTTATGTAATAATATAGTCCAGTTAGTATAATAAAAACAAAATTTAATCTTGACCTATCCACTCGGACACCAACTTCCCATTTCAACCCCACCTTTTGAATTTGAATGAATTTGATTTGAAATATGAAAAATGGCAAAAAGGAGGGAAAATTCAAAAAGTGGGAAGTTGGTGTCCGAGTGGATCGAGGTCACGATAGCTCAGGTGGTAGAATAGTGGCATATCTAGCCGAAGGTCGTTGGTTCGAATCCCGCTCGTGACACTGACTTTTTTATCTCAACTAAAAACCTTAATTAATTGAAAGATATTAATTGGTCAAGCGGACCACGAAAACTAGTGAAAAAATTTAATATTTCGTTATATCCTAGTTCAAGTGATAATTTGAAAAAGCAGAAAAAGTAACAAAATTCATTCTCAAATTTAAATCTCATACATATATAAAGGCATTTCGAAATAAAAAAAGTTGAACATTGACAGTGACCAATTTCAGTTTTGTCATTTTCAAACTTGAAAAAGCATATAAGCAATTCTTACCCCCCCCCCATACAATTTACTCATGAGTTAGAATCTGTGGGTGTTGTACCGTTCTTGGATCTTTTGGTGAAAAGGAGATATTATGAATTATTACTAAATGATACCAGAAGCCATCCAGCATAGATACTTACATACTCTTGCACTTTTCATAGCATCACTTCTTTCAAATGAAAATAAATGCATCGTT